GGCCTTCACAATGTGCAATAGAAAGCTAATATTCATGATAAACTATATAAAATACATGCCACATGTACGATTTGAAAGACTATATGGAAAACTTCACAATGTTCTCTTGTCTGGTTTGATGTCATGTTTCATGGCTTCATATGATTCAAAGAAATATAGTTCATGCATTTGGGGATGATTAGACTCTTCATATGATTGAAAGAGATATTTATAATGTGTACACATGCAATGTTATGTGTCAAACACTCACATTTAAAAGAAAATTTTGTTATGTACACGTAAAATGCACGACGTCGGATGCATAAAATTCGATATTTTGTGACAAGTTATGTATCTTTTGATTATGAAGAAAATGCTGACTAATATATTTTTTGTTATTCTTTTTTTTAGGATTATTAGTCTCTTCGTATGATTTAAGAACAGTTTGCTCAAGCAGCGTATTGCATCAGACACGATATTACAAAATTTGATTACTTTTTGTGATGGAAAATTCTTTTATCTTGATTTTGAGATGAGAAAAATTATATAAAATGTCATGAGAGATAAGTTATTTTTTCACGAGAGTCTAACCTAGTGCTTTGAAATTAGGCAAGGTTTGAAATGGGCCAATGCTATGATCATTTTCAATTGAAATGGACAAATAGAATGTTCTATAGAAAGTAGAGCTAAATTCCAAAAAGCATAAGTGCAAAAGAAAGAAAGAAAGAAAAAGGGAAGAAAGGGGTGGAGCAGCCGCAAAAGATGCAACGCATGTCAAATTGGCATGTTCTTCCTCAGTGAATGTGATTAAAAAGTAGTTTAATGAATAAAATAAAATTAGTTGTAACTATGTATAGTGCTTGCGATAAGGATTGAAGAGCTTAGCATGAAACACTAAGGAAGAAAGAAATTTTGTATCACTTCTTTTCTATTATGATTGAAATTCCATTGATGTGTCAGAAAGAGAAGAATGATAGCTATACTGATTCGATATACTCTAAAGACACCCTCAGTACCACTATTGAAGATCCCACTTCAATTCAATCTTAGTGAATTTCCGTTTACTGATCCTATCTTTTCGCAAGGGATAATGCTATTCACACACCTAGTTTTGTCTCTTACACATCTTTGTTAATTTTTGGCCATTGATCTTAATCTATTCATTCAATCCAACGACCAAAAAATTGAATGGGTGTGTGAGAAGTAAAAGTGAGTATGTGAATAACAAAGAGTTAGTTTTTTTTTTTTTTTTTTTTTAAAGGAGGAACATACAACCAGCACAGGAAAGCCTACCAGGAGGCTAACACCACAAGGGCAAACAACACAGAAAGAAATGAGAGGGGATACACCACACAGACGCTCCAGCAAAGAGCGTCACCCCCCCCCCCCCCACCATCAAAACAAAATTAAGGAGGGCAAGGAAGACCATCCTTATTCAAAACGAAGACCAAAGAGTTAGTTTGTTCTACACTCCAAACTCCAAAGTAACAAGTTTATAAAAGTACTTTGAACTACATGAACAAAGTCACTTAATACTACGGTCTAGTGTTATTTCTCTTCACTTGTAAGCGAGAGACCTTAAGTTCGATTCTCACCAAAGGTGAATTTGAACCACATTATTGTTAGCCTATTGTGAGGTAAAGCACATCCCCTCCCCTTAGAGTAGAAAATATGCTTTATTCAAAACAAAACAAAAAAGATGAAAAAGAAAATAACTATAAGAAATCTACACCCCCGTCTCAAATTTTAACACAAACGAAAGTTGTTCGTCTTCTTGTTGGGATCAAAGACATTTTATGATTGAATCTTTGATCGAAAGCAATTGGGGGAACTCTTTTTTCGGCTAGCTTTGAAGCATCTAATTCAAAAGAGCTTAATTATTATATGACCCAAGGCTCCACAAATCACTAGAGATGATTCAGATGAACATGATTATACAACAAAGTAAAAGCTTGGAGATTTGGTGAATTTGGAATGGATTTGCATTAATCAGTCCCCTCTAGTAGTGTTTTTGAAAGAAAAAAATTTAAATTAAAAAAGAATACCTAACAAGACCCAAGAGACTTGATGACTGAAGATCCTAAAGTTATGGTATTAATTACGAGAGATTTTCTAAGGTGCCAGAAACACGACTCGATACAACAAATGTCATAATAAAAGTGGTTGGATATTTGAATTTTTGTTTTCTCAACCACTTATATTATAACACTTGATGTACCAAACTGTATTTCATGCACACTAAAAACTTTCTTCTCAATTACAAGGTCCTTGATCATGAGATTTACCATTATACTCTTCTCTCCCTATTTCCCCTTCCTCGCCCTAGGACCTAGGGTTTGTTTCTTCTTTCTTTTTTGGGAACTTTAACGAAAAGCACTTGGTACTGTTCACTTTAACGAAAAACCACATTTTTACACTAAAAAGTCAATCCTGGTACTATTCACTTTACCCTTTATTTTGTCCTTATCATTAAAACTCAAAGTTTTCAAGCCCTTTTCATTAGTTTTCCTTTCTTTTTTTTCTCTCTGATATCTTTAGTTCTAGGGTTTCCGATGGAAATAAATTAGGAGCTGCAGTACACAGATTTGGGTCTTGAGCAATGTAGATACTAGTGCATGTAATTTGAACCTGGGCTAAGAAGTTGACACTTCTCTTCGCCGTGTGTTGGGCCTTCTTTGCACAATGTTTATCTAGGGTTTTGCAAACACCGCTCTATTTTCTTTGGGCCCCTAAAGCACACCAATTACCATAAAAAATTAACAGCAAAAATGGAGTGATTATTTTTTGGGGGTTTTATCATAAATAGTCCTTAAAATTGACCATCACCACTAAGATGATTTTTGAAATTGAAAATCAATCAATGTAGTCCTTGAAAATATGTGTCACAAATAAACATGGTCCTTCTATCACAATTCTGTTAAAAATATCTGTTAAGTGCTGATGTGACATATAAATGGGCTCCATAATTCATTTTTTCTTACAAATGGTCCTTGAAATTGACTCATGATATCAAAATGGTTTCTGAAATTGACCCATGACATCAAAATGGTTCCTGAAATTGACCCACGACAACAAAATGGTTCCTGAAATTGAAAATTGATCAATATAGTCCCTCAAGTAAGTGTCTCAAATCAATGTAATCATTATGTCACAATTTTGTCAAAAATTATGTTATGTGTTGATGTGACACATAAATGGGTCACACAAATCTAATTAAATTAAAAAAATTACAAATAGGTTTAATAATTTAATAGTTAATAAATAATTTAATAATTTAATAGTTGATATATGGATGACTAAATGGTCTCCGAATCAAATCAGTGTTTTAGAGATGATCTTTAAATGATGATAAAGAAATGAAATCATATTCATTGTCTTCCAAATTAGGCATCTCAATTGCATATTATCATTAATCAACTTTAGACCCACAAATACAAATATTTGGAAGAATACAACCACATGAAGCAAGAGCATCAATAATAAAATAGGAAAACTAATGAAAATGAATTGAAAATTTTGAGTTTTAACGATAAAGACAAAATAAAAGGTAAAGTGACTAGTACCAGGATTGACTTTTTAGTGTAAAAATGTTGTTTTTCGTTCAAATAAATAGTATTAAGAGTTTTTCGTTAAAGTTCCTTAATAAAATTTGGTTCACGATAAACATGTATAATATCTCGAATGAGAACTTATTGAAGTGAAAAATGAACATCTTTCATTAGAGTCAAAATCCGCAAGAAATTTAAGTACATCCTTAAACATATCAGCTATGAGTATGTCAAAAAATGAATAGAAAAGTATAGTCCCGCTTAGGGGTGGGCAGGGGGCGGCCCGAGTCGGGGATTACATTTTCTTATATAGGAATCGGACCTTACCTGGCCTGGTTGAAACGGCCCGGTTCGAGCTGGGTCTACGAGTCCTTGGTTTTTAAAAAAAAAAAAAAAACTAGAATTTGCACAGATTGCATAGATTCACCAATGCAGCAATTACGCAATAGGAAACCCAGATAATGCAAGAGGAAAGATTTCGAAAATTTTCCAATTCCAAATGCACCCACTTCCTTATAAAATCTTCAAAATAAACATCTTCGAACAAAGTAGATCAAGACTCAGTAAATCAATACTCACAACATAAACCCATATAATATAATCCACAGAAAATTGAAGTGCATATCGAAATTAACAAAGTTTAAATATTTAGCAGGTCATTAGGTATATAGGCATCACAAGAAATCCATGATAAATATGAACAGATCTCGATATGAAAGCCCTAATACGAAGCTAAGAGTGACCTAACACACATGGAGAGATCAGTACTCTTCGGCCTTAGCATCCTCACTGGTGGCAGTAGCGGTACATTCCACCGCAGAGCTCGCAGTCTCGGACTTTGTGGCGTCATTTTAAGCAGTGAAAGCAACGACGTTCCTAGACTTAATGATGTCGAGCATGCGCTTGCTGATCTCCTTGGAGTAAACCTGCAGGATCTAAATCTCGTCCTCCTCGATGAGGGGAGGGGACGACGCACTCGAAACAGCGAATGAGAGGTGACAAATCAAGAAGATGGGTGGTGCCCTGGGCCGTTGTGCTGTCGGGGTGGTGAAGGGAATGAGACGACGCACTGGAGACGGTGAAAAAGACTCAATCGACAGAGTGAGAATGACAGTTGAATTCGATAGGTTTGAGGACGAGCAAACCTAAAACCAACGATTCAGATTGGATGGAGAGATGATCTCTTCAATCTCATCTGTCAATTCTAACTACAAATGGGTCGGTTCGGGTACCCGCGGTTCCTATAGTTTAGGAACCGGCTCGAACCGAAAATTTCAAAGGCCCGACCCGCGGTTCTTGTACCCGTTTGCCCACCCCTCCCACTCACCTAAGAATCTCGTTTACGCGAGTGATACTGCATATCTACACATTATACTTCAAAAAATGATGTGTTTTCATGGGATACAAAGAAAGAGGCAAAAAAAAAAAAAAAAAACAATCTGAGGGGATATGCGGATTGAAAAAAAACTTCGAGGGGCCAATCTGAGATTTTAAATTTTAGAGGGGTCGTTGACCAATTAGCCTCTTATATAAAATCCAAAACCTGAATGACCGACCCCCAACAAGGAGCTGCTGCTAGGGTTTCTGTCCGTCTATTTCGGCAACGCTCAAGGTTCAGATCTCTCTCTTACTCTTTTCCCTTTCATCCTTTCTATTCAGTTCGATTCTTAATCCCCAAAATCCCTAAATTTCACTACTAATCGTTGTTAATTTCTGATTGAATTTGAAAAATGTGTTCTTTGCTTTTGCTTTTTAGTTTGTGATTTTACAGCTTGATTCGAAGAATGTCTCGTGTGTACGTCGGAAACTTGAGTCCTCGAGTGTCCGAGGGAGAGCTCGAAGACGAGTTTCGTGTTTTTGGAAATATTAGAAGGTAATTTGCTGTTAAATTTTTGACCTTTCTGTCTGATTTGTTATAATATTTGTAGTAATTTACGCACAGATTCATAAAGTGTTGTTTATTTTTATGGAGGATGGTTGTTGATCTTTTGTGTTGTTAATTTCGCAGCGTGTGGGTTGCTCGGAGACCACCGGGTTACGCTTTTGTTGACTTCGATGACAGTAGAGATGCAGAGGATGCAATCCGTGAATTAGATGGTATGTTTAGTACTTTGGCTGTTGATTTTTGATATGGGGTTTTCTTAGTTTTATCATTCGAATCCGCCATAAGGGAGAAGCATAAGTTCATTGGAACGTTTTGTTTGTGAAGCAGCATAATTGAGCTGAACAATGAATGATGGTATCTGTTTTGAGATGCGTATTTGAAAATATTCCTTATGGAACCTGTCATTTTTCACAATTTATGCGTGTTCAACTAGGTCTAGGTTTCTTCTTTATATACTGTGGTTGTCACCTTCATTGGAATTTCTGAACTTTTTGAGATGTGAGATATCTCAATCAAAACAATGCTCATCATATAACGTGTAATTTAGTAGAACAATATTGATACCATTGCTTGAGTTGTGAGTATTCTGTTTTCCTCTTTTAGAATTGTGACTTGCGATCTTGCTTTTTATGATACACCGTTTTTTTTTTATGTTAATCCTTTACTTATGCATTGATGGGTCTTTGGTTCGGTTTTTGTTGAACTTTTAATTAGCCCAGGCTAGCTGTCCCTTCCTAATGGATGGTGGTCTCATGCCCTCCTTGGAATTATATTTTCAACTTGTTTGTCAACTATTCATACAATGGCTTTATTTTATTTCAATTTAAGCCTTCTCATTGGGTAGTTTATATGGTATTGCTGGCTGTAAAAACTTTCTCTTTGTTTTCTGGTGTTCTAAATTTTTTTGAGCTCTAAAATGTTTTGAGTTTTTATTTTTATTTTGGAACAGGTAAGAATAACTGGAGAGTTGAGCTTTCACACAACTCTAGAGGTGGTGGTGGTGGTGGTGGTGGTGGTGGTCGTGGTGGAGGTGGTCGTGGCCGCTCTGGCGGTTCTGATTTGAAGTGCTATGAGTGTGGTGAGCCTGGCCATTTTGCTCGTGAATGTCGTCTACGTGGTGGTGGTGGTGGAGGTGGTGGTGGAAGGCGTCGTAGCCGCACTCCCCCTCGCTATCGCAGAAGTCCTAGTTATGGTCGCAGGTGATGTCATTTTGCCGTATATTCTTTACTTAAAGCCCATTTTATTTTTTTCACGGTAGTCGGTAATCAAACAATATTGTCTTCTGGTGTATTTGGTATTGAAAGCTGGCTTGCTGAATGCAAGTTCACAAACATATCTCATAGCAGCTGTTATATCTAGGTTGGAGATGATTTCTCTTATCTAATACCTTTTTTGACATCTCTCTACTGTTAAGCAGGAGCTACAGTCCTCGTGGGAGATCCCCTAGACGTCGCAGTTTGACACCACGAGGGAATAGCCGCAGCAGGTCCCCACCATACCGTGGGCGGGAGGAGTTGCCATATGCCAATGGGTAAGGCTCCTTGCACTACGTTTTAGCAAATCCTGATGCAAGATTATGAAACCCTTTCTTCTACAGCATGAAACTAGTTGTGTTGGAAGGATGATTTTCCATTTGATTCATGTCATGATGGTATATGTCTTATGCATGCGGACATTAGTTACTGTTCCAATATTGGATGGTAGAGCATGGCAGTGGCTGTGTAACAGTTGCCATTGCTTATTTGTTCTCTGAAATATGGTGCTGAATACTTGCAGCAATGGTCTAAAGGATCGCCGCCGAAGCAGGAGTTAAGGAGTGCATGGATGGCTAGCCGGTGTTGTTTAAGAAGATATACTGGGATTAAGTGTTGTTTAGTGTGCTTGGACATCAGGACAACTATGTTTAAATTTGGGGACGCCCTCAGCCTCTACTGTCTCTCTGATTTGGTTAAGTTCCTTCCTTTCTTAACTCTAGCTCGTTTTATTTACCTTTGCAAAATAGGCGTAGGGATAAGGATCTTAAAGGTAAAGTCTTAAACATTATAACTTTGTTTAAGAGTGTTTCTGAGAATGCTGCTAAAACTCTATGCTTTTTCTGTGCTTTTTGTGTTGAGGTGTCGTCTGGTTCTTCTGCTTCATTGGTTTTGTTCTTCTGCACTCCCTGGCCCCTGGGATTTTTGTGCTTCACTACTGCCCTGCTCTGGGATCTTCAATTTTGCATGGTTGTTGGTCCCAGCCGGCTAGAGCTTCAATTTTGTGTTTCTGCACTCTCCCGGGGATTTCTTCACTGCCCTGCTAGTGGGATCTTCAATTTTGAATGGTTGTGGGTCCCGGCCTGCTATCTGCAGAGCTTCTATTTTCCTTGAACTTCGTCGGTAGCTATGCGCCTCTCTCAAACTACTGTAATGCATTGGTTTAAACTATTACTTAAAAGGATCGAGCAGCAGGGTACGCGCCGAATGTTTGTGCAGGTACTCACATCTGTTCTTCAGAACTTGGGTTGTTCATAAACGATAGAGTTGTTTATGCAGGTACTCTAATATATAAATGAGTTCGTTGCGTGTGCTACATGATTCTACTTTTTAGAGATTTGGTAGTGACAGTAGTTTCTTAGTCCCAAAGCTCCCATATTCTGGGATTTGATCTTCAATTGGATCGAAAAATGCAGAAAAACAAATTTGGTTCCAAGTTAAATTACGACTACACCGAAAGTAACTTTTTTGTTTTTTGCGTTGGATTATTTTATTTCTAAGTATATAGACATTACAAGCTTCTTGTTATATTCTACTTCTTTTTGTTTCGATATATTTGGTTATGATTTTGGTGACGCTGGGCATTAGCAATTCAAGATGATTTCGGAAAATTATAGTTTCAATTATTTTCTTTATGCAAGTATGGTTTTTGTTCGTATCTCTTCATCCATGTATTTGCAACAATGCATTTATATATTTTAAAGCCAAATCCTCTAATGCGTTACACTGTTGAATTGGCCGCGGTTTGACAAATTAAAGTATCAGTTATTTGCAATAATCGACTATTATAGTGTTTTGCAAGAGGCTTGTAGCTCAGTCGGTTAAGAGCATGCGTCTCTCCAATTTTGTACTCAGAAGGGATGGTGAGTTTTGAATTTTTGTTTTCTCGTACAATACACATTACCCAAATATCAAATCAAATACGAAGTTCTTGGATCATCTTAAAAAAAAATGTCAAATATTAAGTGGAAAGTAATGTAAATTTGAGATATATCAATCCCATATGAGAAAAGGTAATGTCAAATAATTTTTAATTATTTAAGTGTAGATCTTATTAATGCACAAATTATAAATCTTGATTTTTTTAATTGATTTCTTTTTAAAATTGGTCTTACAAATATCATTTATAACAAAAAAAAAAAAACATATTGGTATGAAAAAGAAAAAAAATCTGATATTATCACGTCAGCTATCAAATTAACAATTGATGTTTATCGTTTGACATCTCTATTAAAATTCATTCTTACATTTGAAATTTTACATTCGGTTTTCTTCTTCCGCACTATTATTTCAATAAAAACAAATAATTTAAACTATAAAAATGTAAATTCAAACCTACGTAGATAAGAGGGAGCACATATGACAAGTTAGATCACCAAATTAAGAAACAGAATTGAATTCTCACTACTTTTTGTTTAATATAATTATATAAACATTCATGTTCTTCACGTTCTCTCGCTCCCTGAGATTTCTGCACATCTTTTCATCCCAAAGTTTCAGCCTTGGATCGATGACTCTCTCTCTCTCTCTCTCTCTCTCTCTCTCTCTCTCTCAACTCATCACTTTAATTTTTCACTTCAATTTGCAGGCGCTTAGCCATGTTGGTTAGAATAATGTGCTTATCTCTGAACTTAAGTTCGAATCCTTTGTCTGCAGGCTAGAAGAATATAGGGTAGAATATCATGCGTCTGTCATTCAATTCTTACTTTTCTCTCTTGTTGAACTTCATATCACATTTTGGATTCTTTAGTTGCATGTGAGCAGAAGCCTCATGCAATGCATTAACTTACAATCGTTAAGCCACATTTACACATTATTGACAAGAAAACACATTAATATAATAAAGGATTAGACGTTCAAATATCAAAAAGTATATATAATTAACACAATTTCAGAAGCTCAAGGTATAATGTGAAAATTTTAAAATATTATAGACCGTTTTGAAAACTACCTCAAATCGTAAAATGTAATTGAGGCAGACTTAAACAGGTGGCTTGTCAAATCAAAGAATTTCTGCTTTTCTGTAGAAATTTAGATGACTTGGATTCTCTGCCCTCCCATTTCAGTGCCCTCCTGTTTTGTGTGGTCACGGTTAATCCATGATAACATTTTATATTGTTTTTTATAAAAATAATAAGACAAAAAAAATAGTAATATAAAATATTGACGTGGCTTAACCGTGATCACATAAACAGGAGGGCACGGAGAAGGCACCGAATTGGGAGGGCAGAGAATCCAAGTCCCAATTTAGAAAGAGTGGTGACAGTATCTATCTAATTAGACCTCCCAACCAAGGGCACTATCCTACAACTACAACATGGACCCAGAATCACATACATGCCCACCAAAGATCTCTGGCCCCCAAAAACTATGTGGCCCTTAAACGGGCACTTCAAAAGCTTGAAAGTTATGAACCAAAATCCTCAGCCGCCACAAAATACCATAAAAATGCAAACTTTGTTTCACTTGCAGTTTGCCTGCCGACACTTTGAAATTTATCTCAACACGCGTGTGCATGGACACACACACACACTCCATTATTTTCAGATCGTGGAAAAGTGGAAAATCTCGTTACAGACAAATCATAATTTGATATATGTATAAAAATTCTTATGCTGGAAGATTACTTCAGTATATGTTTTTGATTGTGATTTGATGATAAGGCAAAAGATTACTTAGACGATGAGGCAAAGGAACTATTATAAATTAATTAGTAGATAAATTAATTACAAAAAGTGCTTGCTTTGCCTTTGTTGCGCACTTCTCACTGATTGACAAGAAGGAATTTACAAACCAAAAGCATCAGGCAAACCTTCTTAAGGTGAACAAGAACAATCCAATACCTGTGGAACATTAAAATTGATCAATGCCCTATCTGGAAAAAGTAACAAAAAAAAAATGGAGGAATAACATTCGAAAACGCGAGGTTCCTATCGAGTTCTTCGTTCACGCTGTGTGGACTATAAGTAATTTGGGTTACTGGACCGAAGGGTAACTCTGCTGCACATTCCCATGGCGAAAGGGATTGAAGTTCCCTCAATGTGTGTATCTGGTTTGATTTTTTTCTCCATTTTTCTCTTGTAGCCATGAAATATCAGCTCATTTGCTCACCAATGAGATCAAGACCAACGAGGAGGAAGGTCACGCCTTGGAAGAGCAGGAAGTAGAAGTGTACACCTTGAGCAGCTAACAGACTCCTGACAGAAGCAGTGAGCAATAGGAATGCTAGAGCAAGCTCCTTCCGATATATCTTGTTAGCTTTCTTAATAGGCTTGGGAGCTACTTCTTTTTGTTCCATAATTCGGTTCAACACAGAAAGCTCAGTCTCAGAAGCTCCTCTGTGGACCGGTAATTGGTTTACCATTTTTGTTTCCCTTTCAGCAGCAGCGAGTAAGTCCAGTTCCGATGACCTCCCAGTCTTCTTGGTGATAACCCACTCATAAGAGCTACCCAGCTGGAACAAACCGGAGACCATTGCGTTGAACTTGGTGACAGACATTGTGTTCTCGAAAAGGAGATAAGGAATAATAAAAGGGAAGGATTTAGGGGATGGAAGAATGTTGAGGAACGACATGAAAACAGGAACGTAACAGATGACCCATGCGGGAAGCTCTGCCTCCGGGACAAACATGGTTAGCGGAAGAATTATGCAGAACAAGGTGAAGGAATAGAAAGGAAGGATAAGTTTCCTCAACAGAAAGAATAGAAGTATCAAGTTTGCTTTCTTCCACGCGGATATCTGCAGAATTCAAGAAAGCAAGAAATTATCGTACATGTTATAAACAACGGGAGACAGGGAATAACAGAATTTTGATATTCAAGGCACCTTGGAAGTTATAATCGCTGGAAGGCATAATCTGAATAGCTGCATAGGACCAGAATGCCAACGATGCTGCTGCTTTCGGTAAGCTTCATAGGACTCAGGCACTTCACATGGTACCTGAAAGTTGCATGGCTATAAGGCTTGAAACATCTTCTTTTCCTTCCCTTAAATTCATTTGGATTTTGTCTAAACATGCATATGGCATGCATAACGCGAATGTCGATGGTATTTAATTGAGGTAATTGAAGTAGCATTTCATACAGATAAAATGCAAATGTGTGTGGTCCTGTATTAACGGATACGGAAAAACTATAATCAAGATTACCTTAACATCGTTAAGGTAGATGAATTTCCAACCGTTGAGATGGGCCCGGACAGCTATGTCCATGTCCTCTACAGTAGTCCTTTCTAGCCATCCTCCAGACCCCTCAAGGGCTTTAATTCTCCAAACACCAGCAGTTCCATTGAAACCAAAGAAATTAAGAAACACCCCGTTAACCTGCTGTTCCACCTCAAAGTGGAAACACAAATTAACATTTTGGAGACGAGTCAACAAGTTCTCTTCCTTGTTCACAAAGGCCCATCTAGCCTGAACTAAACCTAGTTCGGGGTTGTCCTGCAACAGAACGTAAAATATGTTAAATTCGAAGAGTTCAGACCAAAAATCACACTGAAAAACTATTATGTTGCTATTATTCACCTTGAAATGTGGCACCGTTTGCTTAAGAAAATCTGGATTGGGTTGGAAGTCTGCATCAAAGATTGCAACAAATTCATAGTCTCTCACATAATCACAGCTCATTGCAGACTTGAGATTTCCGGCTTTGTAACCAGTTCTAACAACACGATGCCGATAGATAATGTTGATACCCTTTTGGCTCCAATTAGCAACCTCTGTCTTTATTAACCACTGGATGCTCTCATCATCAGAATCGTCAAGAACTTGAATCAGAACACGGTCCTTTGGCCAATCAATCTGGCAGACTGCAGAGATAGACTGCTCATACACCTGCAAAAGGCCAGGCCAGAAAACCTTATAACATCACAAAAAATCTTACAGGACTTTTTGCAGTTGCCAATTAGTTTCATATGCTTCAGTTTTTCAGAGTCACCATCATGTACTACCGGAAGTACCATTCGCTAACTATTAACTTTCAATAACATGTCCAAACAATGTTGCAATCCTATACATTTTTGTTCCAAAAGTTGACTAGTGTGACTCTAATTCACAATCTTAGGTAAACGGATGTATTACTTTATAATAATGATCATTCTTGATGATTTCTAAATAGTGACTGTCAATTCTTCGACTGTTTCAGAGTTTTATACGATTATGTTTGAATCTAAGAAGACAAAGGCATTTTTTTCCCCCATTTTATTAAATAGAGACAGTCCACACATTGTCAAAGTTTTGCAAGTTTGTTGGAACAACTAGATTATTAAGCATAAATATATATCCAGAACTAGTAACTAATGCAAAGTGAATCAAACAGCCACCAGCTAAAAGCAACATAACAAAATAATAGAATAAATTAAAGAACAAAACAGACAGCAAAGAGAGAGAGTTCAATTCATTACCTCCTTCTCATTGCACATTGGAATTTGAATGAGAACCATGGGGTACTCATATTTCGATTTCTCAACGTCCTCCGACTTCAAAGACTCCCGATCAATCCTAGGCTTAATCTTCTTGAGCTTTATCCACAAGCAACCTAAACTAAGTATCATTCGATCCACGGATTGGATAAGGAAAAGAACAATACAAAATTTAGAGAGTGCTTGAATGGGAGGTGCAATGTAATCTGCCCGAAACGATAACCAACCAACATAAACCAAGTGGAGCAAGCTCTGTATATCAGAAGTTCCAGGAATGTGCAAACTGGGATTCCTAAAATAATGCCAGCCTTTGTAGTAAGCAACAACTTCAAAGGCCAGGATTGCAAGGGAAGTAAATAAGAAGACTCTAATGACAGTAAAAAGTAACTTCTGGTTTCCCAGCTTCCCATTCTCCATGGAAACACCTTGCCTGAAGATTAACCGCTTCTTAATGGTGCTGAGAAGTGTCCAGAAGAGGGTGGCAACCCACCCAATGCAGCTGACTGCGCGGTGAGCTTTGAGAAGCAAAACCCATGTCACTTGCTTTGCATTCTTCCCCCTGCTCTTATCAACTGGCCTGAATGCTGCATCTGGACCGTCGATTTCCACCACAGAGAAGTTGGGGTTCTCCATTGTCACCACCACTGGTGTCCCCTTCCTGCTTTCCTTTGCCCAGAAACTGGAAAAATCCAACCTTGGGGCCATTTTCTCACACTAAATAGCAGAAAAAGTTCAAAACTTTGAAGAGTTTGAGAACCCAATTTCCAAAATTTGACAAAAAGCAAGAAAAATCACTAAAAACCAGATCTGGAAACAAAGAAATGAACAAAACCCATTTGAGAACCAGCCATAAAAAACCAAACTTTACGAAAGAAAACTCAAAAAACTCAAAAAGGTGAAGAACCCATATGAAAGCTCATAATTTTACGCAAAATGCAGGCAATAAAAGGTAAAAAAGGGAAAAGTTTGGGATGTTCTGGTTCTTTGTATTCCCTCAAAGGCACTCTAGAAAAACAGAGAGAGAGCAAGGGAAAGCCACATTATGAGGGAAGGTATAATCTGCCTATTTGCTGCAGCTGTAAATAGCCCAAACACCATGTGGTGGGGTACTTGTCAAGTAAACCCATCAAACCTCAACCCTTCAATTTATACTCCACAAAATTCTACCAAATATTTTACCATTTGGTGAAATATTCTGGACTAGGAATCTGCTCAAAAGATATTCTTTCTTCCTAAGAAATAATGAGAAATCTGCATTTTATTGTAATTGAATATTCAATAGAGAAATCAGGAGCTAAACATGGTCAGTCATTAATCACGATTAAGAGAGTTAAGACAATTAGTGGCTTTGTTAAAAAAAGAAAGAAAGAGAATTTCAGTCAAGGGAACAGTTGAGAGGAAACCCAGATCACCAACTGTCAAAAACAGGCCATAATCCATACCAGCTAACTCACACTTTCAATGTAAGAAAGTTTTAATAAAATAATAACTGTATTATTATTATTATTATTATTATTATTATTATTCTTTGGCAATGAAATGAAAGCTTATATTTAAGAATATTCTTTTGTTCTTTAATTTAAATATGAAGTAGCCACTACAAAAAGCCAATACACCATTTCGCACCCATGTGGTTGTAAAAAGATTTTATTTAGGTTGTGAAAATGTGAACTTATTCACATTTCATTTCTTTTAAAGAAAGAAAAAGTTTTTTTTTTTTTTAATTTTGCATATAATACTTTCTTTCTCCTTTTAATTAGTTAACTAGTTTGGATAATTTTTCTTTTCTATTTTAGTCAATTAGTCAAATTACTTAATACAATTAGGCAAATTGTTAATGAAAATTTGTAATTGATTTAAGATTGCAAAAAAATGCAAAATTTTATTGTATGATTTTTTTTTCTTTTGACAACAATAGCGTTAATAGGTTCAATTGTTAATTATTAGGAGGAGAGCAATCAGTAGGGATCAAACTTGTAATTTGGGTGTATAAACATGATTATTTTTTACCATTGCAATAAAACATCACCTAATTATGGTATGGTTTTATCATCAAGAACAAATGGTTATCTCATTAATATAATGTAGGCAAACTGTTAATGAAAATTTGTAATTGATTTAAGTTGACTTCTTGATTAATTAAAACATAATATACCCTAAATACTTTGATTACTTTTTGTTGACCCTAAAAACTATCAAGCCTACATGGCGCGCAGGCCGAGTAATCTATGAGCTAACTACGTCCTTCGATTGAATGCGGGGCGTGCCAACTCGTCGGCCGAGGAGTAAAATTTGTTGATGTTGCGTTGGGTGTGCGGCTGACTTCTGCGTCTTGGGATTGTGACCGAGGAAGGAACACGTCTCGGCCTCTTGGGTTCTCGAACCTGAAGACAAGGCTACTATTCTTACGAAGTTCACGAATCGTTGTCGTTGGATTTGGTCACAGTGATGGTATTCGTCAGAGTAAACTCACGCCGAATCGACACCAAAGTGTAAGGGCGCAAATACTCAAAGCAGATATGAGTCTTAATAGTGAACGTGGTTCAGCCGTCTTAATGCCGAACTCTAAATCCTACTTAAGAATATCCAATCATAAAATAACTCGGTGTGCAATGCGCCGAGCTCAGTAAGCTGTAACACCTCACTTCGCCGAGAAGGCTAATGAGATAACCTCAATCAATAAGGATTCAGAAACCCTTCTCGACCGAGACTTGGATAGGTAACCAGCCGTCCTCGTCGCAGTACTGTTGATGCCAACGGAAGATGTTGCGAGATCGGCTGATTCTACGGCGACAGAGCTATCTATGCCGACTGAAGATATCACCGGTTGCTTTCACAGTGTTGTTGATACCAACGGAAGATGTGTCAGCGAAAAGAGAAAATAAAAAATCTCAAAGTTGTTGAGAGAGTTTGCGCAAGGCAGTTGTGTGTTGAATTGGAGGGGCTTCTCACGCTGCATAGCGCCTTGTATTTATAGTAGTAATGTACCTTCTAGGTCAAGTTAACAACCTACTCGGATTAGGATTTCTTCTTCTAATCAAACACCCCTCAAGTACTCCTACTCCCATCAGGATTTTGAACCTATCCTTTCATCGAGCCGGATTCACTTCCGGGTTATTAATCTCGCCGAGATTCCTTATTGCGCTAGGATTCGACTCATTTTGCAGTATGGCTTAACCGATCTAGGTTTGAAAGCCCACGAACTAAACGCTCCATGGTAACACTTTCATATACCTTAATTGTCACATCCCGGTCCGGGGCGAATCACTTCCCAGGCCCGCTCCACTACCGTAGCACGATATTGTCTGCTTTGGGCCCTGACCACACCCTCATGGTTTTGTTTCTACGAACTCACGAGCAACTTCCCAGTGGGTCACCCATCCTGGGAGTGCTCTGGCCTCCTTCTTGCTTAACTTCGAAGTTCCTACGGAACCCGAAGCAAGTGAGCTCTCAAAAAACCTCGTGCTAGGTAGAGATGAGAATATACATTTAAGGATCACTCCTCTTGGCGATGTGGGATGTCACATTAATTAACTTGATTACTTTCATATTTGAATGAGATTTCTTTCCCTCCAAACTTTGATTACTTTCCCTCCAAACTTGATTACTTTTATATTTAAATGAGATTTCTTTCCCTCCAAACTTGTAATATCCGTGTTTAAAGTTTGGTTATTTTTTCTTTCGCTGAAAGAACAAAAAATTCAAGACATATTTTCTTTTACGACATATGTAAAGCTGAATTTTATTCAGTTATATTAAAAAGGAATCGAACTTCATTACGCTAATCCTACAAGATTGAAGTTGTAACTTTCTTAAGATATATATATATATATATATATATATTTTTTTTTTTTTAAAAGGTACATGTTGTGAGGGCCAAACTCCATTAACACATTAAACATTAGATTGGCTTATCAAGATTCACTGAGAATTAAAATCCACAAAAATTATTTTAAAGTGGCGCTATCCATTCATTTTTTTTTTACCTCTTATACATCTCATGTTAATTTATGTTATTTGATTTTCTTCAATTCATTCAATTCGAATGCTAAAAATAAAATAAATTGTGTAAAAAAATAAAAATGACTGTATGATAGCACGGCCATTATTTTATCTATCTTCTGAATCTGATGAGTACGTACCATCTTAATAAAATATACTAGTCTCACATTTTACTACTAGTTAAGTAGTAATATAGACTCGTAGTTTTGTTGTTTTCATGCAGAAAAACTGTGGAGATGATGATCTCAATTATTAGTAGATCTTTGTGCGTCCATGCATGTGATCTCAACAGTCTCAGAGATGTGATCACAATACTGTGAGCTGGAGATTACAACTCGTACCCTTTTCCCCAGATCTCTTTCCATCTATATTTCTTATCCATCTTTGTATTCACTAAAACCCTAGCTATTTTTAGCATCTTTTTAGTTTTTTATTCCAATTTTTTTATTAATTATGTGATCCATGGAAATCTTTAGCTATTTTGAATTCACGTGTCTAATTAGAAAACAAAAAAGAAACAATAGTAAATTAGACCAAACGCTTTTTATATTACACGAGACATATATAACTAATCTTGTTATCATGAATACGTCCACAAATATCATAGTTGGTTGAGTGGTGAGCTTTCTAAGCGGTCGGATTAATGAGTTATGCAATTGGGGTAGAGTGAAGTTGTCTATCAGAACTGTTTTCTAGTCTCAAATTAGTTGTACAATCCAGTCCGGCCCGTCTCTAGTATGATGCTAAAGTTTTTATACTTATGTGAACTTATGTTATACCGTTAACTAGTAGACAGCTCTTTATGATGTTAATTCATAATTTGTTTGTGTCATCATACTTTTGTAACAAATATGCAAGATATGAGAACATGTGTGATGAATGTGGGAGGTTCCGGGTTCGATGCTTCAAGCTGGTGAGTCTGCTTGACTGTACGGGTAGGGTAAAACTCCCCATAGTCTCGCCGGACCCAAAAGAAGTGGATAACCGTAACTTGCCACTAGTTCTCCCCTTTTTTAAAATATTCTAGTTGGATATAGTCAGATAACATGTCCCATGAAACATATGAGTGTGATCATATCATGCAAAGCTTAGGTCTACATGAGATTTTCTATTAGCTAAATACTCAGATCCTGGCCCCGTGAGCCAACCCACCAAATTTATTTTCTGTTTTGATTTTTTCGACAGAATTTGGTTATGTGATCACGAATCTTCAACCTTATAATCTTGCAACATCAGTTCATGACAGACTTGGATGTATTTACAGTGTGATGGCGAATTATGTAAGACTCTTTGTCATATATGGGTGTGTTATCCACACACCTCATTTTACTTCTCACACACCCCTTGATAATTTCTGTCCATTGATTTTCTTCAATTCATCCGATAGGACGGCCGAAAATTAAGAAGGTGTGTGAGAAGTAAAATGGGATGTGTGGATATCACACCCCCTATATATATAGGAAATCTTTAAGAGAATGGATTCTCATTATTTTATAAAAATAGGAATTAGTTGTGGGGTCCACACTTCATCGAACTTTAACGATTCGAACCGTCTATTTTTCAAGTTGCACCTCATAGATTATTCTTACAAAATATTAGCCCAAATCGGAAATGTTTAAGACATCTAATTGGGTTCAAAGAAATTAACGAATATTTTGTTATATAAGAAACAATGAAATTTTGTCTTGATAATTAAATAGGCAAATGATTTCGGATTGAATTGAATTTTTGCAAGGATGATCTATGAATTGAGACTTACAAAATAGATAGTTCGAATCATCGAAGTTTGATGTGGAGTGATGTAACATCCCACATCGCCCAGGGGAGTGATTCTTAAATGTATATTCTCATCCCTACCTAGCATGAGGCATTTTAGGAGCTCACTGGTTTCGGGTTCCATAGAAACTCCGAAGTTAAGTGAGAATGGGGCCAGAGCACTTCCAGGATGGGTGATCCATTGGGAAGTTGCTCGTGAGTTCTCAGAAACAAAACTGTGAGGGCGTGGTCAAGGCCCAAAGCGGACAATATCGTGCTACGGTGGTGGAGTGGGCCCGGGAAGTGATCCGCCCCGGGCCGGGATGTGACAAATGGTATCAGAGCCAATCCCTGGTCAAAAGTGTGCCGACGAGGACGTCGGGCCCCTAAGGGGGATGGATTGTAACATCCCACATCGCACAAGGGAGTGATCCTTAAATGTATATTCTCATCCCTACCTAGCATGAGACCTTTTGAGAACTCACTGGCTTCGAGTTCCGTATGAACTCCGAAGTTAAGCAAGAAAGGGGCCAGAGCACTCCCAGGATGGGTGACCCACTGAGAAGTTGCTCATGAGTTCCCAGAAACAAAACCGTGAGGGCGTGGTCAGGGCCCAAAGTAAACAATATCGTGCTACGGTGTTGGAGTGAGCCCAGGAAGTGATCCGTCCTGAGCCGGGATGTGACAAGTGAGCCCCACACTTAATACCTATTTTTTGAAAAAAATGGGAATCCCTTTGCATAAAGGGCCTATATATATATTTAATACGACGATCTATTTACGCTATAAAAGCAGATGAATAAATTGGTTGCATACTCGTCATTTTCGAGATTCGAACTTAAGACATCTCACTTACAAGTGAATAGGAATATTATTAGATAGTAGTACTAAATGACAATTATTTATATATCTTAGGAGATGATTTTTGCACATTCATTTTCTCTTGGTGGACAACTTTTCTAACTACTTGATTGAACAAATTAAAAGAAAATCAAGTTACAAATATAAAAGAAGTGTGCAAAAATCATTGGGAGCAAATTTTCACCTACCGTTTTGGTCTTTCACATGCCTCTTTTTATTTTTAGTCATATGATTGATTAAAAAAAACAAAAATAACAAATGATTTTAAACAAGCATGTGTGGACATAAATGTGTGTATTTATTATTTCTTTTATCACATGTATATTCTTATTCCTACCTTAGACAGAAAAAACCAATTCACACATAAAAGTAGTGTTCCAAAAGGCCTTGTTTAGGACCGTCTAGGCTCCACCTAGGCGCAAGGCGTATGGTTGTAGTATACAAATTGTTCTTAGATATGAGATATCATATGTATATTATATTTATAGATAGGGTTTTTTTTTTTATCACAAATGGTCCTTGAAATTGAGCCTCACCATCAAGATGGTCCTCGAAATTGAAAATCAATCAATGTGGTCCCTGAAAATAGGTGTTGCAAATTAATGTGATCTTTCCGTCACAATTATGTTAAAAATTCTGTTAAGTGCTAATGTGGCACATAAATGGATCCCATAAGTCCTTTTTTCTCACAAATGGTCTTTGAAATTAACATGTGATCAAAATGTTCCCTGAAATTGACACGCAACATTAAAATGGTCCCTGAAATTGAAAATCGATCAACGTAGTCCCACAAATAAGTGTCCTAAATCAATGTAGTCCTTCCATCAAAATTATGTTATGTGTTGGTGTGATACATAAATGGGTCACACAAGTCTAAGTAAATTAAAAAAAAAATTACAAATAGGTTTACTAATTTAATGGTTAATAAAAAGTTGTTGACCCAAAAACCTAGTCCCGCAATCACCTCTGATTCCAGTCCACATTCCTTGGAAAAGGATCCTCGTCGGATCCTTTTCCTAGGGATCCCGCGATCGTGACCGTTCATCGTACATCGTGCGGTCAATTTTCATTAGGTACTATTTATATTTAATTTTAAATTTTGAAATGATTTCTGACCGTACGATGTACAATGAACGGTCACAATCGCGGGATCCCTAGGAAAAGGATCCTTGCCGGATCATTTTCCACATTCTTCTACCTCATTCGTTCTATATTCTCTAAAAAAAATCTCAATACACCCATCTTTACACACTTCGACACGCTTCACCGAATTGAACCTAGATCGACATCACTTTTGGTGATGGCTTGGCTGATTAGCAACGACTTCTGGGATATCATTGTTAACATTTAGGCGATCAACATCCTCAATCTTGGAGAGCTTGTTCATTGCTTCCCTGGTGGTTTGGTGACTCAAAGAATGGCAAGGTCTGTCTTGTGATAATGAGGTTATAAACGAGGTGCATCTATTGTTGGTTTAAAACTATTTCCAAACCCCCCTTTTAGGCCTTGATTAAGCCTTGTGCCTTTGAGAATTTATGGAAAGAATCTCTCTTTGGAGTAGGCCCTACTATAAGAAAAAAAAAATTCATTGTGGCGGAAGGATTATATTAATTTGCGACACCTATTTTCAAGGACTAATCGATTTTCAATTTCAGGGACCATTGTGATGGTGTGGGTCAATTTCAGGGACCATCATGATGGTATGGGTCAATTTCAGGGACCACTTGTGATAAAAACCCGTGAATCTTGTGGGGCCCATTTATGTGCCACATCAGCACTTAACGAAATTTTTAACAGAATTATGACGGAAAGACCACATTGATTTATGACACCTATTTTCAGGGACTACATTGATTGATTTTCAATTTCAGGGACCATCTTGATAATGAGGGTCAATTTCAGGGACCATTTGTGATAAAAACCCTTTATAGATATGAACTTTGATTTCACTTCAAAACCCTCACTACTTCGCAGGGCCCAATAGTGTGATACGTGGATTCATATGTATGAGTGAAGATATATAATGCACAATAAGGAATGTATCACCTTCTTGTAACTATTCAATAGAAAGAGATATCTCTAAAAAGCTACTTGAAGATCCATATCATAAATCTTCGGCCAAAGTACTTGTTGATCAAGCTATGTTTGTAAGAATTGTTTCAGCAGGAGATGCATTGTGGCAATCATAGATGACTACATGTGATTTGACATAAATCCATATCACATAAATCTTGATCGGGATATGAATGATTAAAGAACCGAATTGCACTGTAACTACAATCAAGGTTCGAAAAAAAAAGAGTATCATAATTAATTTGCGTATACTTCTACTAATTCAAGTAGTCATAATATACTACTAGATGTCACTCATAGTTTGTGTAACTACGTATATCCTTCTTTACCTGTCGCCTGACCAGCACCTATTGCCTAATGCCTCTAAAACTTTGCAAGAGTTGTTTCGGGTTGGAATTAAAGAAGACAACTAGGCAAGGAAAAGCACAATTTGCATTAAATTTGAAAGCGCACCCAAAAGGCCACCAAAAAAGCTCGATTAAATTGCTTTGTCACCTGTACAGCAAAGCTTGAGTTGGAAATATTAATGAAATTGAATAATTTGTATAAGGGGACGAGAAGGAGATGGTCTCCTCCACTTATATTATGATACATGACCTACCTGTTCATATTTTGGGTATAGAAAAATCTCTTCCCATTGTCAAGCCACCCAAATTGCAAAGTTCTAAACCTCTCGCACAAGCCACCCAAATTCACTTGGGTGCGGTGGGAAGATATAAGCCTTAAATTCCAATGCTGTTAAATGGAAATGGTAAAAGAAACCCCAGTGGTTTTGGTCAAGCATCAAGACCAGAAGGGGTTTTATTTAGAACAAGAATTTAAGGGCATTTTTCACTCAGTTAGTTAAGTACATTCTCCTATGTTGCTATGCATACCATACGAGGTCTCGAATTTGAAAACCCCCTCCCTCAATATCGATTGTATTAGAACGAAAAATAACAAATAGTAATTTCAATCAACATCTTACGCAGCCACAAGCAATTATTGAAGCATGAGAGAAAAACAAAGGAAATTACTGATCTGAGAGTTCCAAAATTGCATTAGAAAGAACAGGAAAACAAGTGCATGTGCATGGAGGAGCCGGAAGACCCATTCCCAGATCCTGAATCCTGGAAGACCTTCGTCTCAACGGATAATAATCGTTCCCAGAACATGAACCGGGGTATTCGCTTTCTGTAATACCTGAATTTCAAGATTCAGTAGAGTCAAGGAATGCATCCAAATTCATACGATTAGTCATAATCTACACATTCAACATCCCAAACGAATGGAATCAGTTTTTCTTGGTTAAACGCTGAACAGAAGACAAAAGTAAACCAACCGGAAGCTTATGTAAACCGACGGATGATGAATTGTTTTATCAAGGAACATCTCTACCATGTGAGCACAGTAATGAATTCAGATATGCTGTGAACCGAACATGTTTAAACATTTCTACGGTGCATCATTGTCATTCAAAGAACTAATTGCCATGTTTTGGTGGAGATAGATGCAAAAAGTAAAAACAGAAAGGAGCTGTTAGTAACCATATGCAATCTTTTGGTATCAACTTTATTTACGATAAGCCTCCACATCTGCAATCCGCATTGCGGGCTTGCTCTTCCTCTGTTGATATTTGGCAAACGAATACCAAACTCCGCCAGCTGTGTTGATAACCAGTCCAGTTACATTCAAAACATGTACTTGCATGCCACCCAGTAGTACAAAACCAAGGGTCTGAGAAGCAAAGAAACACGTATAAACAAATTTTCTCACAAATATTTGTCTCAAAATAAGATGGAATAAAACTTAATTCCCAAAATCGTCATTTAGCCTACAGAAAACGAGGTAGTTCAGTCATACCGTGGACCCAACCCCTTTTAGGACTCCAACGATGGTTGTTGTTAGAGCGGAGTTGACTATCGTACATAAGAACATGGTGAAGTTGAGAGCAATGCCCATAATAAATGAAAGAATGAGGATCACCAGAAAATATAAGGAATTACTCTGCAAAAACAGAAAAATTCATGTCAGTTATATAATGCATGATCTTTCTAAGAAGAACTCAGTGCCACAGCAATAATCCCAAGGCCCCCGGAAGAAATTTTCACATGGTTACTACTTATATGAACAGCCAGCTATGCAACTGTATATCCACTAATCCAGAATCCCAAGGTAAATTCAAACAACACAAAATCAGAAAAATTAGTGGAGCGAGGCGTATCGCCAGCTCCCACCATATTGCTGAAATTGATATCACCCCCTGATCTAGGAGTTCGTATTGCTGGATGCAGGCCAAAAGAAAACTAGGACTTCTCGATGGGCTAAACTAATATGTACAAAGACAGTAATCCATTTCCAGATACAAATCCAACAATTTAAGCAGTCAATCATCTACTGTTTCCATAGTTATTAGAATCAATACAAATAGAATCCCACATAAAAAGAGAATGATTCAAATACTTATATAAAGAAAAAGTTAAAGTCTGACCTTTGCAATTAGTAATGATAAAGAATTTGGAAATTCTCCTGTAGCTACAATGAGAAGCATAAAAAACGGAAGAGACAGAAAGCTGTTATAGTACATGATCTCAACTGATGATAGCCCATCTTCCGCACCAGATTGCTCCACCAACACAAGGTACATGGTCTAAATAAGAAGTGCTTCTATGAGCTTAATTACCATAACATACAATTCGAAGCAAGTAAAGCACAAACCAGTCGGTGAACAAAAACATCAAAACCAACAACAACAACAACAACAACAACAAAGCCTTTTCCCACTAAGTGGGGTCGGCTATATGAATCCTAGAACGCCATTGCGCTCGGTTTTGTGTCATGTCCTCCGTTAGATCCAAGTAATCAAGTCTTTTCTTAGGGTCTCTTCCAAAGTTTTCCTAGGTCTTCCTCTACCCCTTCGGCCCTGAACTTCTGTCCCGTAGTCACATTTTCGAACCGGAGCGTCAGTAGGCCTTCTTTGCACATGTCCAAACCACCGGAACCGATTTTCTCTCATATTTCCTTCAATTTTGGCTACTCCTACTTTACCTTGGATATCCTCATTCCCAATCTTATCCTTTCTCGTGTGCCCATACATCCCACGAAGCATCCTCATCTCCGCTACACCCATTTTGTGTACGTGTTGATGCTTCACCGCCCAACATTCTGTGCCATACAACATCGTTGGCCTTATTGCCGTCCTATAAAATTTTCCCTTGAGCTTCAGTGGCCTACGACGATCACACAACACGCCGGATACACTCTTACACTTCATCCATCCAGCTTGTATTCTATGGTTGAGATCTCCATCTAATTCTCCGTTCTCTTGCAAGATAGATCCTAGGTAGCGAAAACGGTCACTTTTTGTGATCTTCGCTAGATTGCTCCGGTCATTAGTGTGGATAAGTATATAAATGGATAGAGATAGGAAAGCAAACCCAAGATGTACGTGATTCACCCAGATTGGCTACGTCCACGGAATAGAGGAGTTCTCATTAATTGTGAAGGGTTTACACAAGTACATAGGTTCAAGCTCTCCTTTAGGGAGTACAAGTGAATGATTTAGTACAAATGACATTAGGAAATATTGTGGGAGAATGATCTCGTAACCACGAAACTTCTAAGTCCCGGAGTGTGGTATCGGCTTGACTTTCCTTATCTGTCTCATAGGTAGATGTGGAATCTTCTCTGGAAGTACTCTTCCTCCATCCAGGGGTGGTATCTGTAACTGGTGGAGATGCACAAGGTAATGTATCAATGTCACTTGAAGCTTACTTGTAGTTTCAGGCTTGGTCAAGCGCGATACAAACCATGTAGTAGGAGTCCCCCAAGTCGCCGAGCTAGGGGATCTGCTGAAGAGGGTAACAGACAAGGTAAGCAATCAGAGCTCCGGCTGATTGTTCACATTCTCCCTATCTTGCAGGCAGCATGAAGGATAAAGAGAAGAAAAAATGAGAAAGAGATGATATGGGATACTTTTGCTTTTGAAGAAGTAACTTTCCACAGGCTTATTCTTGAACTGGGCTGGAGGGTTTTCTGGTTTCCTCCAAAGTATAAGGCCGACTGAAGAATTTGAGGGTCAAAACAAGTCCATCAAATCTAGAGTACGTTCGACTCTGCTGATATGGGATACTTTTGCTTTTGACAGAGTAGTGGATGTATCGGCACGTGTGCTGTTACGCTTGTCTCCACATGCTTCCTTGTATCCTTCTCACTTGCCCTATCTGTTCCTCAGGTAGATGCGGTATCTTCCCTGGAAGCATAAGATGTTGAAGATGAGTACTCGAGAGCAATGCCAGGGTAAGGGGTTCCAGGCAGTCAGTTCCTAGCTGGAAGCTTGATTCCAAGTGCTGACTGATTGCTCTCTTTCTCCTTGTCTTGCAGGTAAGAACAAGGCCAAAGGAAAAGACAGGGAAAAAAGCATGATATGGGATACTCTTGCTTTTAACCCTGATGATATGAGATATTCTTGCTCTAGTATAGCTTGTTTACAGAGGTATTATCGGGGGGAAAGAAAGCTGAATATTTCGAAAGGCTTCGTTGGGAGTGCCCTCTCAGATAAGAGGAAGGGTTGAGCATTTTTGCAGGTCTGCCTGTCCGTTGGGGATGGAGGTCGACATATATAGGAGTCTCCCTAACATCAAGTAATAATGCTATTCCTTTACCCTGCTTGGTCATAGCACGGTAGTGGGAGCTGCCAGCTTCACAAGTTTTAACTCTGTCAGAGCACTTTGAAAAAGTGGTCTGTGGTATCTGGAAAGCTGGTGTTGCGTGTGAAGATTACAGACAAGCTTTATCCAAGGAGATCCGGCTCTTGAAGTTGGGAAAGTGGTGCCTCTTCGATTTTCGAACAAGCAATCCTGTCGGGGATCTGGCTCTCGAGATTCGAAGAACGATGCCTCTTCGATTTTTGAGAAAGCAATCATGCTGGGGGTTTGGCTCTCGAGATTCGGAGAGCGATGTCTTCGATTTTTGAGAAAGTAATCATGTTGGGAGTTGGGAGTGTTTTCTCGAATATGAGTAAAGGTTGGGCATGTTTGCTAGTCTACCTTGCCACGAAGCACAGAGGTTGACACACAGGGACTTTCCAATTATCCAGCAGTGGTACTGTTCCTTTACCCTCTCTTCGATTTTGAGAAAGTAATCATGTTAGGAGTCTGGCTCTCGAGATTCGGAGGGCGGTGCCTCTTCGATTTTGGAGCAAGCAATCTTGTTGGGGGTGTTTTCTCGAATGTGAGTAAAGGTTGGGCATGTTTGCTAGTCTACCTTGCCACGAAGCACAGAGGATGACACACAGGGACTTTCAAATTATCCAGCAGTGGTACTGTTCCTTTACCCTCTCTTCGATTTTTGAGAAAGTAATCATGTTGGAAGTCTGGCTCTCGAGATTCGGAGGGCGATGCCTCTTCGATTTTGGGGCAAGCAATCTTGTTGGGAGTGTTTTCTCGAATGTGAGTAAAGGTTGGGCATGTTTTTGCTAGTCTACCTTGCCATGAAGCACAGAGGTTGACACACCGGGACTTTCCAATTATCCAGCAGTGGTACTGTTCCTTTACTCTTGTGGGTAATAATATGGTAGCTAGGCCGTCAAAATTTATGTGTCTAAACTTTGTTAGTGTTGTTTCTTTGCTATTCTTTTACCCTTCTTGGTCAGAGCGATGTAGTGAGAGTTGCAAGCTTCACGTGTCTCGACTTTGTCAGAGAACTTTGGCAAAGTTATATGTGGTACCCATGAGCTACTGTTGCGTGTGGGAAGTGGGTGATTGAACAGTACGATTCATGTGCTTTCTACTTCGCCAGAAATCTTCGACAGAATGCCCATAATTTCCGCAAAGCTGAGTGTGCGTGTGACAGGTGCTGACAAGGCTGGAAAAGTAGTCTCAACTTTATCAGAGAACTTTGGCAAAGTTATATGTGGTACCCATGAGCTACTGTTGCGTGTGGGAAGTGGGTGATTGAACAGTACGATTCATGTGCTTTCTACTTCGCCAGAAATCTTCGACAGAATGCCCATAATTTCCGCAAAGCTAAGTGTGCGTGTGACAGGTGCTGACAAGGCTGGAAAAGTAGGTGCCTCTTCGATTTCTGAGATCGACCCTCGTGGTCTCTGAACAGCCCAGCTTTTGAGAAAGCAAAACCTCTTCGATTTCTGAGATCGGCCCTCGTGGTCTCTGAGCAGCCCAGCTTTTGAGAAAGCAAACCTCTTCGATTTTTGAGATCGGCCCTCGTGGTCTCTAAGCAGCCCAGCTTTTGAGAAAGCAAACCTCTTCGATTTCTGAGATCGGCCTTCGTGGTCTTTGAGCAGCCCAGCTTTTGAGAAAGCAAACGCCTCTTCGATTTCTGAGATCGACCCTCGTGGTCTCTGAGCAGCCCAGCTTTTGAGAAAGCAAACGCCTCTTCGATTTCTGAAGCTTCGTCGAGTGCAGATTTTTATAGAGGCTGACATTAAGTTCCAAAGCACACTTGAATATCCACCAGTAGAAGCTCCATTCTTGCACTTCTAAGATCTTGATTTGTCTGACCTCTTCTCTCTTCTACACCTTTGAAAATGTCTGGCCCCTCCGACCGTCGTTTTGACTTGAACCTTGTTGAAGAGGCAGCCCCGCCTTCTCCAGACAACATATGGCGCCCATCCTTCGTCTCCCCTACTGGTCCTCTTACCGTTGGGGATTCCGTGATGAAGAATGATATGACCGCTGCGGTAGTGGCCAGGAACCTTCTCACTCCCAAAGATAACAGACTACTTTCCAAACGGTCTGATGAGTTGGCTGTTAAGGATTCTCTGGCTCTTAGTGTTCAGTGTGCAGGTTCTGTGTCTAATATGGCCCAACGCCTATTTGCTCGAACCCGCCAAGTTGAATCATTGGCGGCTGAAGTGATGAGTCTCAAACAGGAGATTAGAGGGCTCAAGCATGAGAATAAACAGTTGCACCGGCTCGCACATGACTATGCTACAAACATGAAGAGGAAGCTTGACCAGATGAAGGAATCTGATGGTCAGGTTTTACTTGATCATCAGAGATTTGTGGGTTTGTTCCAAAGGCATTTATTGCCTTCGTCTTCTGGGGCTGTACCGCGTAATGAAGCTCCAAATGATCAACCTCTGATGCCTCCTCCTTCTAGGGTTCTGTCCAGTACTGAGGCTCCGAATGATCCCCCTCCGGTGCCTTCTCTTTCTGGGGCTCTACCGACTGCCGAGACTTCTCCCAAGCAACCTTTGTGAAGGCTCCCTCTTGTTTGTTTATTTTGACTCAAGTATATGTACATATTTGTAATTTATCGGGGATATCAATAAATAAGCTTTCCTTCATTTCAACGTATTGTGTTAAATCACCAAAGCCTTCTTCGCTAAGTTCTTTGAATTTTCTTTTGTTGAAGCTTGTATGTTGGAGCTTTGTGAGTGGAGCATGTAGGTTGAGGTAGTGTTCCCTTAATTTCCCGAGCGAGGACAACTTCTCGGTTGGAGACTTGGAAAATCCAAGTCACTGAGTGGGATCGGCTATATGAATCTTAGAACGCCATTGTGTTCTGTCCTGTGTCATGTCCTCCGTTAGATCCAAGTACTCTAAGTCTTTTCTTAGGGTCTCTCTCAAAGTTTTCCTGGGTCTTCCTCTACCCCTTCGGCCCTGAACCTCTGTCCCATAGTCGCAT